GAGTGATATTATAGTTAGTATCAACGTTATTCATCTATAAGTAGTAAAGTATGATGGTATCATCTATATAATATCATCTATAAGAGTTAGTATGATAGTATCATCTATGGTTGGTATCATCTAATAGAGTATCAAGGTTAGTGCTGTTGTAAAAAGAAAAACAGTAGCGATTTGATGATAATCGTGAATAATTATAATAGCAATAATAATAGTAATAAATTATAAAGTAAGAGTGATAACAAACGAAATGAATTTTCAGTCGATTAAAGAAATGCTGGATGTGATGAGCGGTACACATTTGGTGAATGAATCGTTACTGATTGAAATCAATGAATTTCTCTCCAGCGCTTTCCTGTCCTCAAACGATTCATCGTCGCTTTTAATGTCGATTCGGAAGTATACTCTACCGTTAGAAAATTTACTGAAAGTTGGTTGATTTGATGTGGAATGTATGAGAAATAATCTCTGACAATGTATCGGTATCGTGTATTTTTTTTTTAAATTTCGTCGACATGTTTTAAAATAGCAAAAGTAAAATTTGGTTAATGTTGTTGAAGGGATGTGTGCTGTGTGTGGAAGATAATTCGATATCAATGACAGCTATTCCATTTGGATGATTTGATACTTATGCGGATGAAAATGATTTTAGTATTTTTGTTATGACAATGGTAGATATAGAATAAAGGTGGTGGTGATGGTGCTTTACAAAATCAGAGTGGATGAATTTACTGCGGGATTCAGTGATTGAATTAGCTGTCATTGATTGACTGTTTGGTTGGGATGCGTGCCCATTTTTGTGCACAAAGTTTGGAGTTAATGTGCGAAGTGTTTGCAGTGTTTTTTGCTGGATCGTATCGTGATTGTGGCGAATGAAACGGAAATGGTCGATAGAGCNAAAATTCGACATCCACCGGATTTTGTTGATGGTGAGTATTGGTTAAGTGTTTCATTGGATCAGTGAAGGTTAAAGTTTTGAGTAATGCGATCATCTTTTTGCAGTTTTGTTCGTAGTGAATTGAGTATAAAATCCTATAAATCAGTATAAATTGAGTATAAAATCAGTAGCAGTAAAAAGAGTGATGTTACGACCACATTAAAAGGAATAATATTAGTCAACATAGTAATAGATGTGATAGTGGTGACATTGATAGTAATATTGATTTGGAATTTGAATGAGTATTCAGTGGTGTAAACCTATTTGCTGATTGATTTATGTTTTGATTAGGATCCGTATTGACTGTTTATTATTTAGTATATTATTAGTATTATTTCTCGTTACTTATCCAAAGATTTAGGTGTATTGTGGGGAGATTTTTTGATGGGGAGAATTTCGGCGATAACTGAAATTGTTTTCAGGAACGAGCGGACGTATGGATGGAGCAAGACATCCGGTATCACGAGATAACACGTTCGTGGATTTGAAATATCTCACGTATGGGTTCAGTTTCTTGCAAGATGCCGTCGAAAGGGCGTTGATTGAGCTGGCAACAGGTCAACGCGTTAAAACTGGTCTATTCGCTCAACAGGAGCCGTATCCGTGTACTGGGTATGATAGGTGAGGAGTGGTTTTGGTTGACTGATTTTGTATTGTGCAGTTTGAAAATCCTTCCGATGAATATCTATTCTAAATGGGATTGTTTGCGGCGGTTAGATTAATTTAATGACAGCAATTTGAAGTTTTACAATAGGAGAAGGTAATGTTTTGAGTAATGCGATTAACTTTTCGCAATGTTGTTCGTAGTGAATTGAGTAAGAAATCTTCATATGATCCTAGAAATCATTCGTATTGGTCATCAACCATTTAATTTCTTCAAATGACATTGATGTTTTCGTTATCATTATTATGATTGTACGATTTTTTAACGTAATATTTGTTTGATCGAAGTAACTTCTCGTATAGAGACAGTTAGTTTAAGATAGAG